CCCTCCTGCTGCCGCAGTGCTCACCTGGATGCTACCTGCTGGTACAGTGACATAGGCATATAACTGTGGAAAGTTCTAGAAAATAGTGCCCCTTGCTCACCAGATCCCTTGACTGAAGTTCAGCTCCCTCTGGGGGTGATCCAAGGAAGTGACCCCTTTGTGGTCAGACTCAGCACCCGTCTCTCACTTTTTCCACTTTGAAGGGGACACAGATACAGTGGAGGATGTTCAGACCAGTCAGCATGGGGAGGGAAGGAACAATCACTGCATTTGAGGAATTATAGAGAAAATTCAGGGTGGCATGATGGTCTGTAAACACCTGAGGGAGAATCAGAAGGACCAGGCAGGGCAGAATAGGATCACACGTTGGGGGGAAGCTAGAGAGACATGTTTAGGTTCAAAGTGAGGAAGAGTTTTAGAACATGAGTGTTCTCTAAAGATGAGAAGGAGTGAGTTCCCCAGCACTGGAGATATTGAAGGTGGACACAAGGAAAACTGCGCAAGGAAGTAGCTAAGGAGGATGAGGAGTTAGATTAGACCAGGGGTCCCTATGTGGGGTGATTCCCCCACACAAGAGGATATTAACAATGTCTGCAGACATCTGAGTGGTCACAACTGAGGGAGGGGGGCTATTAGCATCTACTGGGAAGAGCCTGGGGATGCTGCCAAACATCTTGCAAGGCCCAGGACAGACCCCACACCAAAGAATTATCCAGCCTCCAAATATAAACAGTGAGGAGGTTAAAACACCCTGGAGAAGGTAAACTGTGAGTCTGCAGTTGGGTAATCACCCTTCAATCTGTCCAGTAATTCAGAAGACCACGGAAGGTAATTGATGAAATGCCAGGAATATCCAGGTTCCAAGGAGGATCGTGCAGTAGGCTATTCAAGTGCACACATCTCAGAAATATTTTTCAGTTTCAGACATCGTGAGCTATATTTTGAGACTCTGGGTATCCCTACTATAGCCCAAACTAGGAGGCTGTTATTCTCCAAAAAGCAAATATATGGGTTCCCACCACTTCCACCTACTTCCACATGGAAGTTGGCAGCAAGTGCACAAATCTAGAGGCAGGGTTGGGTGAAGAGTGGGAGGAGAATAGTTGAAAACATGCAGAGGAATCCACAGTGAGATCTCACCCAAAGGCCTCTAAAAATTATCTCTGATTCTTTTAAATATACTTTTCATGCCTTCTGGGTGATGAAATGCACCAACTCCTGCAAAGTTCCTGGAACTACAAAGAACTTCATTTTCTCCAGATTTACCACACCCAGAGCCCAAGAATCAGATGGATCCGGGGGCATCTCTGGGCTCTGCCTGTTCCTATCTGGGCATCCGGTAAGGTTTCCAACCTTTCGGAGCCCCAGTTTTCTCTTTATAGAATGGGACGACTTACATCTTCATAGGGAAGCTGTGAGGAGTACACGAGCAAATGTGGGTTCAACCATGTGCCATGCCTAGTGCATAATAGACGCTTACTAAGTGGCAGCTAGTATTTGTTTGATTATCCTCAAAAGGCATGTGGCATTAGGGTAGGCACTGATCAATAAAATTATGCCGTCTTCAAACTCACAATCTAAGACAAAAATTAGCTTGCCTTCATTATAGCTCTCTATTCTTATTCATTAGAATAAAAAGTAGCTCGTAGATGCTGAGTGACTGGCCTGAGGTCACAGAGTAGCTCCTCATGGCAGAAGCAGGATTAGAACCACACATGTGCAGGACACCACTGCCTACCCGTCGTCTCCCCGACCCCAATTGCCCTTCTCAGCCTGCTTCTTTGCCCTGGCCTGGACCTGGGGCCTCTCACTGCAGCAAGACCTTCCCTCAAAGCTCCCCAGGCACCAGCATATAAATGACCAGTTACAGCAAAAATGACTTCCAACCTGGGATCCTTTTCAGGCAATGATAGAGATGTGCGAATTATTTTCCACATGTTAAAAAGCCACCCTGAAAACATACATGTACTCTTGATGAAGCCTGAAAAGATGAAATAAAATGCAATGTTTCATGGATTTAAGCTGCAATTATGTAAATCAACTCTCTGTGGTAATACTGGTTATTTCAACTTAAGTAGAAACTGAAGGATGGTTTCTTATGTCTTTGATGAACAAAAATGGGAAATCTAAACAGTATGGCCTGCTTCACAGTAAAAAATCCAACCTGTAATCAATGTCACCCCGATCTATATATATAAAACCCTAATATGCAAATAGACCAGCCACGGGCAAACTACGGCCCGCGGGCCGAATCTGGCTCGTTTGAAATGAAAAAAACTAAAAAAAAAAAAAAAAGACCGTACCCTTTTATGTAATGATGTTTACCTTGAATTTATATTAGTTCACACAAACACTCCATCCATGCTTTTGTTCCGGCCCTCCGGTCCAGTTTAAGAACCCATTGTGGCCCTCGAGTCAAAAAGTTTGCCCACCCCTGAAATAGACTGAACAACGGAACAACTGAAACAACCTAACAACCGGTTGCTTTGATGTGCGATGACCACCAGGGGATGCATGCAGAACATGGCAGGCGTCAGCCATGGCGGGTTGGTGGAGCAGGTGAGCAGGGGTGCCAGACCAAGGCCGGGTGCCAGTCGCTGTCATCAGGGCAAGCCTGTTGGTTACTGAAAATTGTTTGCTCCCACACGCTGCAGTCCTGCCTGGTGCTTGCACCTGCTGCTGATGCAAGTACAGCTCGTACCTGCTGCCAGCGTCCAGCGCTGGTCCCGATTGCTCAGTACCATCAGTGGGTATGAGTGGTGGCTGCTGGCCCTGATTGCCCCTCAGGGCTTCTCTACCTCCCCTTGCTACTGAGGGGCAATCGGGCTGGCAGCTGCCTCTCGCACTTGCTGCCAGGGATGGCCCTGCTCGCACCTGCTGCTGCCGGCTGGCACCGATTTCGATTGCCCCTGAGGGCTTCTCCACCTCCCCCTGTTCCTGAAGGGCAACTGGGGCAGCAGCCGCTGCTCATACCCACTGATGGCATCAGCCCTGCTCGCACCTGCTGGTGGTGCTGGCCCAGTCGCTCCACGCCCTCAGTGGGTGTGAGCAGGGCCAGCGCCATCAGTGTGTGGGAGCGGTGGCAGTGGGAGCAGGGCTGTCGGCAGACAGGGGACCAGGGGCCACAGTGGGAAGGTCTGGGAGGGGGCGCAGAGTATAGGCCAAGACCCGCCCTTGTGCCCACCACACCCTCGCCGCCTATAGTTCTTTTGAAGGTGCACGGATTTGTGCACTGGGCCCCTAGTCTATATAATAAAAGCCCATAAAAGTCCAGAGACTCTTACAAAGGAACTACCAGAACGACAGGTTGCTATGATGTTCACTGACCACCAGGGGGCAGATGCTCAACGCAGGAGCTACCCCCTGGTGGTCAGTGCACTCCCACAGCTGGAGCACCACTCAGCCAGAAACTGGGCTCACAACTGGTGAGCGCAGTGGTGGTGGCGGGAGCCTCTCTCACCTCCCTGGCAGCACTAAGGAGCAGCAAGCCAAGTGATAAGGAACAAGCAGGCAGGCGGTTAGGAGCAAGGGGTCCCGGATTGCGAGAGGGCGCAGGCTGGGCTGAGGGACTCCCCTTCCTCCCCTACCCACATGAATTTTGTGCATCGGGCCTCTATTAGATTCAATTTAAAAAAGTCCAACCTGAAGTCCAGGGGAGAAATAAAAAATGCCCTTCATGCTGAAATGTCTGGGAATCACTGAGCAAAAAAGACACAGCACAAATCATAGAATATCAGTCACAAAACAACGTGCGCCTGAGGATCTGGGAAAAGGGCCATTGTGCATAAATGAGACATTCAGGTGCCCACCTGCCCACTTCTGTTAAGGAAACATTGCCTTGCCCAGTGCCCTGTGGAATGGGACAGTCTGGATTTACTATAAGTTGTTGAGAAATCTCTAACCTGTGTTGCTGGGTCAAATTAATGAGGTCAAGGACCCAGCTGGTGTGGCTCAGTGGTTGAGGTTCAATTCCTGGTCAGAGTATGTGCCAGGGATTTTGGGCTCGATTCCCAGTAGGGGGTGTGCAGGAGGCAGCAAAAACAATGATTCTCACTCATCACTGATGTTACTCTCCCTTCCTCTCCCTTCCTCTCTCTGAAATCAATAAAAGCATATTTTTTAAAAATGAGGCCAAGACTATTCATCATGTAAGGTGCACATGTAATCATCTAAGAATGGCACAAATGCATTGAATCACCAGGTATTCTGAGAAAATTGTACGATTCCAGTTTAATTGGTCTCAGCACCAGCACTGACATGCAATACCAGGGACCCACCAGCAAGACAATGCACCAGAACTGGTGAGGAAGAGGCCTGCAGGAACACAAATACACCCCCAGCTCTGGCAGCGGGAAGGCGGCCACAGCATCCTGCCAGTTTCTGTTAACTGTGGCGTTGCTGTAGTTCCCATTTCCTCTGCATCCATGCCATCCAGAACCCAGGGAGTGGGCCTGTGACCATTCTCCACATCTGGGAACAGAAGGAACAGAGGAAAGCTGGGCAGCTCTGGAGAGGCGTGTGGATGGCACTTAGGGACAGCTTGAGCTTTCTGGGAGACACAGCCTGGGAAATTAACACGAAAGCTTCATCTAGCGTTTGGAAGCTGGATGCTTGTGAAAGGGGCCGCGTGTGTAGTTCAACTATTGTTAGCTCTGTTCCCAGAGCGGATTCTTCCTGCCCCATCCTCCATCTCAGGGGCGCCCTGAACACCCAGCTGGGGTGAGGGTGTTGCTGCTGGTGGTGGTGAGAAGGGGTGCGGGGAGGGGAGACATGGGTCTGGAGGTCTGTGGGCTGGGACTGCAGGGAGGGAGGTGGTCCACGGAGTGGGAAAGCTCTGAGCATCAGAAGTCCTTGCAATCCCCGTTCCAATCCGCTTCCAGCAAAGTTGAACCTAAAGCAGTATTTCCTGTTTGCTCATTCTTCCGCACGGGCCGCCGCTCCCTCTGGCAGGATCGGAAGGCAGCTAAGGCGGGAGGCATCCAGGTAAGGCTGGGGAGGGAGTTCTCTGCATTGTGTTAGAGGAAGGCGTCGGGGATGAGAATTAATCCCACGCGGGGAAGGCGGCCGGGACTACGAGGGAAAGGGAGAGGGACAGCGTACACTCATGCTTTTCATTACCCGCGGGAAGATGGATGGTTTTCACGGACGGTTGTCTAGGCGCCCGGGCTCGCTATAGGGAGACGTCAGAGCTCTCGGGTCCGCGGTGGAGGAGCCCCCGACCCCCCCGACCGGGCTCCCATATAAAGTCGGGGCTTGGCGAAGGCGGCAGCAGCGGCGCGGACGACGGCGGAGCTCCCCGAGGTCCACGTCCTGCTGTCGCTCCGCGGTTTGGAAAGCGCACCCGGGAGCTGCCCGTCGGGACCATGCGCTGCCGCGAGCTGCCGCTCGTCCTGCTGGCGCTGGTCCTCTGCCGCGCCCCGGC